GGATCTATAGGAGCATGCCACAGACCCGGCTAATAATTTTTTATTTATTGTAGAGACAAGTTCTCCCCAAGTTCCCCAGGCTGGTCTCAAACCTCTGGACTCAGGCAGTCCTCTCTCCTTGGCCTCCCAAAGTGCTGGGATTACAGGCATGAGCCACTGTGCCAAGCCCAACAGTCATTTTTTGACCTTTGTGTTTATAAGATATTTTGGCTGGAAATAGATGTATCAGTTGACATTTGGTGTTTTTTTTCAAGCGCTTATAGATGTCGCTACATTGTTTTCTAGTTTGAATGGTTTCTGAGAAATGTTGTCGTGTGTGTGTGTGTGTGTGTGTGTGTGTGTGTGTGTGTGTGTGTGTATATATACACCTGCACACACATAAACACACACACATGTATTTTTTCCTGATCATTTACATGGGCCTCAAGGGCTCTGTAGGCATTATTATTATTTTTAATAGACATTAATTTTCAGAGCAGTTTTAGATGCACAGTAAAACTAAACAGAAAGTACAGAGTACCCATTTACCTCCTGCCCCCCACACCACAACCTCTATCACTATCAACAACCTACATTTGTTGTGATTGATAAACTTACTATGATGCATCATAATCACCAAAAGTCCATAGTTTATGTTAGGGTTCACTGTTGGTGTTGTAGATGCTATGGATTTTGACAAATGAATAATGACATATATCCATCATTATAGTATCTGGAATAGTTTCACTAACTTAAAAATTCTGTGATGGCCGGGCTCGGTATCTTAGCCTGTAATCCCAGCGCTTTGGGAGGCCGAGGTGAGTGGATTGCCCGAGCCCGCGGGTTCAAGACCCGCCTGGGCAACTTGGCGAGACCTCATCTCTACAATAAATCAAAAATTAGCTGGGCGTGGTAGCACACGCCTGTAGTTCCAGCTACTTGGAAGGCTGAGGTGGAAGGATTGCCAGAACCAGCAGGTTGAGGCTGCAGTGGCCGGGAGCAGCCATTGCACTCCAGTTTGGGTGACAGAGTGAGACTCCAACTCAAAAAAACATAAAAATAAAATAAAAATAAAAATCCTGTGATGAATGTCCCTGCTTATGGACAATCACTGATCTTTTTACTGCCTTTTCTAGAATGTCACATAGTTGGAATCATACAATATATAGCCTTTTCAGATTGACTTCTTTCACTTAATGATATGCATTTAAGGTTCCTCTATGTCTTTTCACTGCTTTATAGCTCATTTCTTTTTAGCATTGAATAATATTACATTGTCTGAATGTATCACAGTTTATCCATTTACCTACTGACATACATCTTGGCTGCTTCCAAGTTTTGACAATTATGGACAGAGCTGCTATAAACATCTGCGTGCAGATTTCCATGTATACATAAATTTTCAGAACATTTGGGCAAATACCAAGGAGCACAGTTGCTAGATTGTACAGTAAGAATATATTTAGTTTTGTAAGAAACTGCCAAACTGGCCTGGTTATGGTGCTTATGCCTATAATCCCAGCATTTTGGAGGCTGAGGCAAAAGGATTGCTTGAGCCCAGGAGTTCAAGACCAGTCTAGGCAACTTAGCAGGCCTTGTTGCTACAAAAAATTTTAAAAATTAGCTCAGTGTAGTGGCATGTACCTCTAGTCCCAGCTACTCAGGAGGCTGGAGCAGAAGGATTACCTAAGCCTAGGAGGTTGAGGCTGCGGTAAACCATGATAGTGCCACTGCATCAGCCTGAGGGGCAACAGAGTAAGACCCTGACTCAAAAAAAAAAAAAAAAAACCTGCCAAACTGTCTTCCAAAGTATCTGTATGATTTTGTATTCCCACCAGCAGTGAATGAGAGTTCCTGTTGCTCCATAATCTTGACAGGATTTGGTGGTATCAGTGTTTTGGATTGTGACCATTCTAATTGATATGTAGTAGTATCTCGTATTAATTTGCAATCCCCTAATGGCATACAATATGGAACATTTTTTCATATGCTTATTTTCTGTCTGTATATCTTCTTTGGTGAAGTGTCCAGCTCTTCTGCCCATTTTTAAAATTGAGTTGCTAATTTTCTTATTGATGAGTTTGAATAATTCTTTGAATATTTGGAAGCAGATTAGATAAGTATTTTGCAAATATTTTCCCCCAGTCTGGCTTGTCTTCTCATTCTCTTGATCATATATTTTTTAATGATTTTTTTTAGTTATTTGAGGAGAAAGGGTAAATCTAGTCTTTATTATTCCATCTTGACTAGAGCTGTATTTTCTTGGCCTTATAAGTTGTTTTTACTATATGTCTGGAGGCCCTGAGGATTTCCCCCCCTTTGTTTTTAAAGTATAATTGTTTTACCAGGCTATGTCTCAGAGTTGATTCTTCCAAGTCAATTTTTCCTAGTGCTCAATGGCCCCTTTTAATATATAGATTCTAGTTTTTTTTTATTTCCAGAAGGTTTTCTTGGATTATATTTTCAAATATTCATTCAGTTACATTGTTTTAATTTTCTTCCTTATAGATTTCACTTACATACGTACATATGTATGTTGTCTCTCCTTGGCCTGTCTTTCATTATCTCTGTTCCTTTTGATTTCATTTTATACTCCTAATTCTTTTCATGCTTTTCATTAATGCCTTTTATTAAAATGTCACTTTATTCCTTCTTGATACTTTGCAGTTGCTTTTTCATTTTTTCTGTTTTTATCCATTTCTATTCTTGGTTTTTAGTATTTCTCATTAAAGTTTTTTTTTTTCCCTATCCCTTGACTGCTAATATTCCATCTAGTTTGCAGTTTAAAATCAACCTGTGGTTGATTTCTTAAGGAAAGAATTTTCATTGGCTGAAATGGTTTGATTTCCACTTTGTTTTTTCTTTTCTTTTTTTTTTTATAGCTGTTTAATGTGGTTTGCTATTTTCTAATTTTATTGATTTTTATGAACAAGGTTTTCACTCAAGAGCTCTTTTTATGTTGGTTCTGCCTTCCTTAATGCAGTTTTCTTTGTGCTTTTCCCCCTCCTCTTCTTATTGTGGTAAAAATCATAAAATTTGCCATCTTACCACTTTTAAGTGTAGGTAGTGATAAGTAGTTCAGTAGTGTTAAGTATATTTACATTGTTGTGAAAGAAATCTCAGAACTTGTTTATCTTGCAGTTCTGAAACTTGGGCTAGCTTTCCCTGTTTCTTTGTATGTCTTGTGATTTGTTGTTGTTGTTATTGTTGAGGCTTAGGCATTTGACAAAACAACCAGTTGTTCTTGTTTTTACCTTCACTAGTCATCCTAGTTAGAAGTTCCATGACCTCCCAAACCTATTATGAAGATTTGTCTTCTTGGGGTTGTGCATGTGCCTTTAGTTGTTCTCTAAGCAGCTTGTCCCTACTCCTTTTAAGTGCCCACAATCTCTTGCCTTCCCTGGTGTCTTCCTGTGGAACTGCAGCTCTACCTTGCCGTGATAATTATATCTGTTTTCTGTTGCTTCCAACAAGGCCTCCTGTCCTGTCAGTGCTCTGAGTCAGGCAAAACAGAAAACAGTCCTTCATTAGTCCCCAGATGATCCAGAATGTTGGACACATGGTCCACTCTTGTTCCATCCCCAGGGAGGATCTCTGGTGTGGGAGTTTTCTCCTTGTTAAACCCCATTATGTGAGATAGAGGAGGGGTGCGAATAAGAACACCAACACCACGAATTTCCCATTTACTGGAATCCTTTCTTGATTTTATGCTGGTCTAGATGCTATAGCTTCCCAACTGATCCCTACAGTTCTCTTAAAGATGTTCTGATCTATGTATTGATTGGTGTCAACTCAGTCTCTGCAGAAGAGTGAAAGTCTGAAGTGAAGCTTCCTAGTCCTCCGTCTTGCTGGTGTTACTTTGTTTTTAAATATTTTTTCTTTTGAGAAGGATGGTATGGTGATGAGGGAAGAAAGGAATGCATAATATTGTTGGGAGGTGTTGGTATTCTTCACTGCAATGTCTCCAAGGGTACCACCACCTACCTCTTCTCTATATATCTGATTCTTCTCCAGAAGCACTGCTTCTCTGAGGCTGCCATGCCTTTTCCCTGTAATCAAATGCTGTGAAATGTCAAAGTTGTGACCTGTGTTCATTATTTGGCATTTAGTTGAACTTTTTCTTTTGGGGGTGATTTGGGGCTTTTTTCTCTTTTAATTTTTTTTATTTTAAAGATGTGGGGTACAATTCAGGGTTAGGTATACAAACGTTCATTATGCGGGTACCCTTGTTGATGAGGTATACCCCCCCCTTCCGGCAGATTCCCAATACTGGGGGTGATTTTGTTTATGCTTCATCTAATTCTCCCATGCCACTTGATTTTTTTTTTTAACACCAAATCTATTACGTCTCCTCTCCTTTGCTTTCTCTATACTCATAGGCTTGCAGCAGTTTACAAAGGTGGGAGTTAAGCTTTCTTTACTTATAGGTAATTTGAAAATTGTGTAGTAGCCCCTGTCTCTTAGGAATACTGAAGGTGTGGGTCATGTGATTTTATTTATTCTTTCTGTTGATTTTTGTGGTTTCTCTGAGAAGCTATGTGGTATTACCCTTTTCTTCCAGACCTGGAAGTCAGCCTCATACTACTTTTTATTTTTATTTTTTATTTATTGTATTTTATTTTTGAGTCGGAGTCTCACTGTCGCCCAGGCTGGAGTACAGTGACACACTAAACAGCCACCGCAGCCTCAACCTGCTGGGCTTAGGCGAATCTTCTACCTTAGCCTTCCAAGTAGCTGGAATCACAGACAAATGCCACTACGCCTGGCTAATTTTTTAATTTATTGTAGAGACGAGGTCTCGCAAGTTGCCCAGGCTGGTCTCGAACCCTGGGCTCAGGTAATCCTCTTGCTTCCGCCTCCCAAAGAGTTGAGATTACAGGCATGAGCCACTGCACCCAGCTCATATTAATTTTTAATATGGGTAAAAAGGCACCTATTGTTTATATCAGTGTGGCTAGTCTCTACGAGTCACAATGGAGAATGAAGTTCCTATTTTATCTAGGCTGTGCTTTTCTATACAGGTTCTTGAGCAGGCCAAAGTAGAAGTCCCCGAGTTTCCCTTCAGTATTGTTCAGTTTTCTTTTGAGTCCTTTTCACCCATCCTCACTAAGGAGATGAATGAAAGGGTAAGTGAATGGATTCTGCTGAGTGATTTATTTAATGACTTATAACCTCTCATCTTTGAAGAAAGTAATACATGCTTTATTAAATTTGTTCTGTATTGAGTCTCCAGATTTTTTCTATGTGTATATTCACATTAAAAAACATTTTTAGGCTGAGCGCAGTGACTCGCCTATAATCCCAGCACTTTGGGAGGCCTAGGTGAGAGGATTGCTTGGACCCATGGGTTTGAGACCAGCCTGGGAAACTTGGTGAGACCTCACCTCTACAATAAGTCAAAAAATTAGCTGGGCATGGTGGCACACACGTGTAGTCCCCGCTACTTGGAAGGCTGAGGTGGAAGGGTCGTCTGAACCCAGTAGGTCAGTTGTGGTGGCCTTGAGTGGGCCACTGCACTCCAGCCTAGACGACAGAGTGAGACTCTGACTCAAAAAAAAAATTTTTTTTAATAAAAATGAGAATCAGACTATGCAAACTATTTTGCAACTTTATTTTTTCATTTTACAGTGTATCTTGCACATCTTTTCATGTCACTACATATCTTATTTCCCTTGGTTTTTTTTGTTTTTTTTTTTCATTAATCAGTATTTTTTATTATGGTTTTGTGGGGTACAGTTAAGGGTTAGGTGTACAATTACGTTTCATTCAGGCACCCTGTTGATAGGTGTTTTCCCATCCCCCGACAGATATTTGCAACTGTTAATCCCATCCCCCTCCCCCCCATAGTTTCCCAGTACCGTCAGTCATTTTCTTATAGTATTGCATTGGATGTTGAAGGCCCGTTATATAAGTGAGAACATGTGATATTCGGATCTTTGTTTCTGTGAGAGGTCACTCAGTATTATAGACTCTAGTTCCATCCAGGTTGCAGCGAAATTCATGATTTTGTTCTTTTTTATGGCTGCGTAGTATTCCATCGTGTATATGTACCACATTTTTTTAATCCAGTCCTCTTTTGATGGGCAGCATGGTTGTTTCCAGGTTCTTGCTATTGTGAACAACACTGCAATAAACATACATGTGCAGGTATCTTTTTTATAGAGTGATTTGTGTTCTTCAGGGTATATTCCCAGTAGGGGAATTGCAGGGTCATATGAAAGGACAATTTTTAGAGCTTTTAGGAATCGCCACACTGCTTTCCACAGAGGTTGCACTAGTTTACACTCCCACCAACAGTGTAGAAGTGTTCCCTTTTCACCACACCCTCTCCAGCAGCTGTTATTTTTTGAGTTGTTGATAATTGCCATTCTGACTGGAGTTAGGTGGTATCTCAGTGTGGTTTTGATTTGCATCTCCCTGATGATTAGTGAGGTTGAGCATTTCTTCATGTGTTTGTTGGCTGCTCGAATGTCTTCTTTTGTGAAGTGTCTGTTCATATCTTTTGCCCATTTTATAATGGGGTTGTTTGTTTTCTTCTTTTCAGTACGTTTCAGTTCCTTATAGATCCAGGATGTTAAGCCTTTGTCAGACCTAGAATTGGCAAATACTTTTTCCCAGTCTGTAGGCTGTCTCCCTGCTCTCTTGATGGTTTCTTTGGCTTTGCAGAAGCTTGTCAGTTTAATAAGGTCCCATTTGTCTATCTTCTCTCTTAAGTCCTGTGGGTTTCGGGTTTTGTACAGGAATTGAATGCCAGTTCCGATTTCCATGAGAGTATTTCCTTCCCTTTCTAAGGTTCTTATGGTTTGAGGTTTTACATTTAGGTCTCTGATCCATTTGGAGTTAACCTTTGTGCATGGGGATAGATAGGGGTCCTGTTTCAATCTTCTGCATGTGGTCAGCCAATTTTCCCAGCACCATTTACTGAATAGGTTCTCCTCTCCCCATTGGTAGGTGGTGGGGGCTTTGTCGAAGATGAGTTGGTTGAGAAATTGAGGTTTTGCTTCTGGAATCTCAATTCTGTTCCATTGATCTATATGCCTGTTCCTGTACCAATACCAAGCTGTTTTGATGATTGTAGCTTTATAGTAAAGTTTGAAATCTGGTATTGTGATACCACCTGCTTTGTTTTTTTTGCTGAGGATTGTTCTGGCTAGAACCACATTTCTTTACACCAATAATAAACAAACAGAAACCCAAATAAAAAGCACAATCCCAATCACAATAGTCACAAAAAAATAAGATACCTTGGCATCTTCCTAACCAGTGATGTATAAGATCTTTACAATGAAAACTACAAAACACTGCTCAAAGAAATCAAAGATGACACAAACAAGTGGAAAAATATCCCATGCTCATAGATTGGAAGAATCAACATTGGGAAGATGTCCATCCTACCTAGGGCAATCTACAGATTTAATGCAATACCCATCAAATTACCAGGAACATTCTTCTCAGACCTAGAAAAAACAATACAGGAATTCATATGGAAACATAAACAACCAAGAATAGCCAGAGCAATCCTCTGCAAAAAAAAAGCAGACAGTATCACATTACCAGACTTCAAATTTTACTATAAAGCTACAATAATCAAAACAGCTTGGTATTGGTACAAAAACAGGCCTATAGACCCAATGGAATATATTTGAGATTCCAGAAGCTAAACTGCAATTTCTCAAGCCAACTCATCTT